CTGTAAGGAGACCAAATTCAAATTCCTGAAGGAAAAAGGTGGGGAACTTCAAATCACTGCATCAGCTTTGAACTACTAACATTCCCTATTTTAGGTCCCTAATCTGTTAAAAGCCCTACCTGATATACAGGACTGCAGTTCAAGCTGACAGGGATCACCTATAAAAGTCCTGAACATTTGTGGGGCTATCTTCTCCCAATCTGCCCATTGTTTGGAATCTGGAGAAGACTCCCTCCAGGTCCCATTCTTAGGAATGTCATCTCCAAGAACTCTGGGGTGAGCTTTCTTGGTCTTTGCTCCCCTTCTCTCTGGAACAGCACAGCACAGATATGTCCCTGATTATATTGTCATTATATTATCTTTACCGTGCTGTGCTTCACTTTTAATCTTATGACTGTTTTGGGTGGTCTCTTAGTTGCTCAGGGCCAGGCATGATTGTGGTGGTATTGAAATAAAAATAAATAATATAGAATAATACACAGGTAGTCCTCGACTTACAGCCACAGTTGAGCCCAAAATTTCTGAGAGTTATTAAGTCAGTTTTGCACCATTTTACGGCCTTTCTTGCCACCGTTGTTAAGTGAATCATTGCAGTCGTTAAGTCAGTAACACGGTTGTTAAGTGAATCTGGTTTCCCCATTGGCCAGGCATCTGAATTTTGATCACGTGACCACGGGGCTGCTGCAAAGGTTGTGTGAAAAACAGCCATACATCACTTTTTCAGTGCCATTGTAACTTTGAACAGTCACGTGACTGGCTAAGGAATTCTGGGAGTTGAAGTCCACAAATCATCAAAGGACCACCATTCCCCACCCTCTGACATAGAGTGATGTGTGAATCGTCTTGATTTAAAAATAATAATAAGAAAACAAGACTAGTAGCTGGATTGAAACCCACAGATTTCTTCCCACCATCAGTCTTTGAAGAGGATTCATTGACTGAGCCCCAGATGTGTAGGGTGAGAAGGCACAATTGAAGCAGGGAGAGGAACCAACCCAAGCTGGTCAATAAAGGAGAAACTCCAATCAGGGACTGCAAGTGAAAAATGGAGTCAGACATCCATTCTGAAAAGGAACATGCTGCTATTGCTGCTGCTGCCACTGATAATGATGATCTTTCTAAGATGTGGGGGTGCTATAGGGCTCTTGTTGAAACCTCCAAAGGCTCCTTCCTGTGTCCAACATGCACGTGGGCACAGAAACCATAAGGAAGAGGCTAATGAAGTCATCTCATTCTGTGGCTTTCCAAATCCACCGTCTTCCACAGCCCCTTGCCTCTCTCCAAGTGATCTTCAAGCCTTGCTTGGGTTATTCTACTTTACCAAGGAAGCAGAGGAGGCAGGAGACTCTTAGCTTCCTGCTCTCTTTTTTCCCACTGACAGGTGGCAGGCTGCCTTCCAAATGGTCCTGCAGGACCCCAGTAAGTGCTGCTTCCAGCTCCTGTATGGAGGAACAAGTGAAGCATTAGAATGATGGATGGAGCCATCTGGCAGGTGGCATGGAGATTCAGGCTCTGACACTTTCACAGCTGTGGGCAGATGGCACCACCGCTTTCAGCCAGATTGTATTTGCCTTTGCAGTCGCTGTTCACCAAAGGACCCTTTGCGTTAGCAAAATGGCTGAGTTGCAAGATGCTTAACAGCCCCCGTGTTTCCACCCGTTTGGATCACAGCTGAGCATCTTATCTGTCGGAAGCAACAAGCTTTGGTTGCTTTCAAAGGAACACCAGCTGCAATGGCTGGGGTAGCATGGCCTCCTGCTTCAATTGCCTCAGCAAAAGGGGCTTGGAAAAATGTGCTGACCAGCCTTAGGCATCCCTGCTGTTGGAGGGCTTGGAAATTCAGTCGGGTGAGGAACTTTGGCCTAGCGTCAAAGTTCAATGTTAAAAATGCAGCACGGTTGCAGAAAGATCTGACAAGATGGCAACACAGACTTAAGGGGGTTTAAGAAGGGAGCAGGCGATGGAGCCGAAATGGCAGCTCATGACCCAAGTAAAGGTGGAGAAGAGCTACTACATGGGATGAAGTCAGGGTGCCGGATGAGACTCGTGGAACTTTGCTGGAGGCAAAGTCCAGAGTTGCATGTCAAAACTAAAAGGACTTAAAAAGGAAGGGAGGAAGGGAGGGAGCTTTTGATAACCTGTAGGATAGAATTGAATGGAGGAGATCTTGTAGATGCAGTCATAGGCCAAGGATAATGGATGTCAGGATTGATCCTGAGCCAGATAATCCAGGGTCGAACTTGAGTCAGAAATAGACAGAAGTAAAGGAATACAAGCTCTGGCTGGTCGGCTTAAGCTTTTGCTGACAAGATAGACGGCAGATTTCCCAGGGATCTGCAGACTGATTTCTGCCACGTCTCTGTGTAAGCAATACGACGAAATCCTCTTTCCTGTCAGCTTCAGGGTGAGCTATTCAATCCTGCCAACCACCATGCTGGCCACTACAGCCTCAACTGTTGGAGGCCAAATATGACTGTCTGCAGGCTGCAGGTGGCACAACGGATCTGGCAGGGAAGATTTAAAGCTCCTCATAAGCCTGTGTTTTAACCCGGGGCCTTGGAGCCTCCTGCAAAACAAGGGAGCAGATGGTTGGCTTCCGCAAGCTACACACCCACCCAATACACAAAGTCCTCTCTCCACCCATCTGCTGGGACCATAGGGGGCTGGGAATTCAGCATCTGTTCCCCAGGGAGGTGTGAAAGTGACAGCAGCAATCACAATCACGCAGACAGGGAGGGAGGGAGGGAGAAGCCAGATATTGGAATGACTCGATAGCAGGGGGGGGACCCTCGAGCAAAAGGCAGACATCCATCACACCAGCTAACTGATGACAACCTTTGTGCTTAAGTAACATACTGCATTTAAGAACACTTCTCACTAAGGACCTCCAATTTCTTCCTTATTTCTCTGTAGGAAGTCAGCATTCCCCCCCCCCCCCGAGAGAAGGAAATAGTTTGGGTGATATTAAAAAAGGCAGAATATTATATTTCCCCAAAGGAATAATGGGAGAAAACCTTAAAATGCAGAAACTCATCTCCCCCAAGCAGAAACTCAGTAGGCCAGCTCTGTAGAAATGCAGATTTGATAATCCATTCAGAAAGACTGGGGCCAAGAAACTTGGAGCTGATGGGATTAGAAAGATGAAGACCCCTAAAATCTACACCCCTCAGGTCAAAGTTCATTGCACAGGAAAAGAAACAACCTCAAATAGGAACAACTCCAAAACACAAAAGCCCCAAAAAGTATAAAAACCCACCACTCCCAGGTCCTTGTCAGCCACCCCAGAAACATGCTGCTGTTACTGAAGTTTCTGGCAACTAAATAAACTGAACCTTCTTCCCTAAGCAATCTCATTTTGTTTATTCCTGGCTTGGACTGGACCTGAATATTTTTCTTTCAACATCCCCAATAGCACTTCAGCCTTTTTTTTTTTTTTTTTACAGTACATGCAACAACAGATTCCAGGAAGCACATTGTTGTTACCTTATCCAATAATACACATGGTACCCATACCCATCATTTAATCAAATACCAGTCAAGATTTATTTTCAGCATTTCACTTTTAAATCAACTTTGTTTCTAAATTACCTAAATTTAGATTATCTAAATCTATCATTGGGCTCTTACAAACTGGAATGTGGTGCTTTGCGTGTGGCTGTATCAAAGACAAAAAAGAAAAAAAAACACAAGATGTTTTTCCACACTGAGACCACGATTTCCCCACCATCAGTGCTATTCTTCATTTTAGCAGAGTATGAATCATCCTTAGATATTCCACATGCAAGATGTTCTCCCCAAATGTTGAACGTGTTTATGGAAGCACATGTACACTTGCATTGTACAGATAGACTCACTGGAGAGCTCGTTTGACACAGTTTCCAGCTAAATACTAATTAAAAAGTTGAGCTTAATAGTATGTGTCTTGTAGATGGGAAAATGCCTGGTCTCACTCTCTTTCCTTTCAACAGTCTCAGAAAAAAAGATCTTGCTATTTACATTCAACACTGGAAGTTTTTAACAATACTGGAAGTTTTTAAGAAGAGACTGTCTAAATATGGATTACAAATTGAGCTGATGCATCTCAAAAAGGACATTTTTGAATATTTGAGAAAATTGAATCAGGATGCAATTTATTTGCAGGAAACATATCTAAGGGGAAAAGAAGATGTAAAATACTTGATACATAAGGCTTTGGGGGAGGAATTTATATCAGCAAGTTCGAAAAGACTGTTGCATTATATATTAGATCACAACTGAAAACTATGGTTCTCTCAAATGAGCATGGTAGATATGTTGCAGATGAAGTAGAGATCCAAAAGATTAAATCTATAATTATTGGACATTATGTCCCACATCAGGGGTAGGCAACCTTGGCTCTTTTATGACTCGTGGACTTCAACTCCCAGAACTCCTGAGCCAGCCATGCTGAGGGGAAAGGGAGAGGTTTCCAAACTGAGCCATGCTGGCTCAGGAATTCTGGGAGTTGAAGTCCACGAGTCATAAAAGAGCCAAGGTTGCCTACCCCTGTCCCAAATGATGATAAAGGGATTTTTTAAAAACAATCTATATTTTCACATGAGAATTGAGTTCTGTTGAGAAATGGAATGGAGTAGTTTGCCCACAATTTGACAGCACTTTAGCCAAAAGAATCAATTCTAACCAAGGAAAGTTACCGGTCTTTTTTTTTTTTTTTAATTTGATGGACAATGTGCTGCTAATAGATTCTTGGAGACAAAAGAATGGAAACAGTAGAGAATATACTTTTTTTTCAGAAAGACATAAATCTTTCTCAGGAATTGATATATGCAAAGCTTGACAAATAAGATTGTTAAGGTGGATATTTTATGAAATATTTTTTCTAAACAGACCCAGTCACTTTAATATTTAAGAAAAAAACTACAGCTTTTAACTGGCGATTAAATGAAGCAATATTGCAAAAATATTGTAAAAATATTTTGTAAAACTACTACAAAAAGGAAAAGTTGTGGAAGACTATAAAATGAGGTTAAATGAATTCTTTAATAACAATTTAGATAAAGGAACTGACTTAAAGACTGGGATGCTAGCAAAGTGGTAATGACAAATTATTTTATTCCATACAGTAATTACTGTAGCTTTGCTGTGAGAAAAATGGAGATTAAATTGTATTAAACAGAAAAACTTTGAATATGCAAATAAACCAGGGAAATGAATGATGTGTAAGCTAAAAAGCAGGGGAGGGGGGGAGAGAGAAAGTCATGTCCATAATTTTTATTCAACCTTGTATAAAACGACATGCCTCTGGCAAAGTCTAATAAGTATCTGAAAAAAACAGATGTTTATTTAAGAATATAATTACACAATACCAAAATACTCCAATGAACAAGACTGGTTTGAAAATTGAAAAGAAATTTAAATTACTGGTTGTTATGTTAATATAAATTATATGCTGTTTCAGAATAATTATGTTAAGATATGGAATAATATTAGAAAAGATTTATCGAAGTGGGACAAACTATAAGCGTCATTATTGGATAGAATTTGAATGAAATAACACGAATGTTTTACCTAGATGTTATTTTTGTTCAGACAGCACCAATACTGATGACAGATAGACCATTTAAATGAGGGTAAAAAGTTATTTCTAAGTTTGTACGGTAAAGGAAAAACCAAGAATTAAATATAAATTGTTGCAAAATGCTAAAGAAACTGATACCGTGTTTTTACAAAAATAAGCGCTAGCTTGATTTTTACACGAGCACCCAATATAAGCACTACTCCAAAAATAAGCCCTATTTAAGACTCCACCCACTCCATTGCTCCTGATTGTACAAGGTAGGATGAGGCACTTGGGTAAAAATCAAGCTAGAATGTGGGTGGGGGGTGGAGCTGCCACATGCGCCCCGCACTTACTTTACCTTAGGATAGTTGCAGCCAGGCCTCCCATGCCCCAACACCTGTCTCTCCTTGCTAGCCCACTTCTTCTGCAGCTGCTCGCCGCCACTTATCCGCATCACCCCCAACTTCAATTTCACCATCAGAGGCCTTCAGGAAAGGTAAGTGAGGCCTTACCTTTAGGCCTCTGCAGCCGAGAAATGAGCTCTGGATTGATGTGTGTGGCGCCCCTGGCCTCCATTTCGGCATCAGAGGCCTTTCCCGAAGTGTTTTTTTGGCTGGTTTCTGGCATTTTGTTCTGGTTTCTAGCAAAAAAAAAAACACAAAAAAACCACCCATTGGATTCACTTAAAAACTACCTAAAAAGGTTATAAAATTTGGTGCAGTTACATGGTGGCTCACTTAAAGACTGCAATGACTAATACTGCAATTCTGGACTCAATTTTGGTTGTAAGTCAAGGACTACCTGTATGTTTAAGACTGCATGGGAGAAAACTTGAATAGAATGCTTGATCAATGGGAAAATATGTGGAGTAAAGGATTAAAATGTACATTGAATTATAACTTGAAAAAATGTATTGAACCACATTCATGATGCTCCATTAATGTTCAGAGACTGTTTTCATTTATCCTGGAGAGGGGCAGGAGGATAAAAACCTTTAGAGCTGCCAACAAATGCAGGGAGATTTGAAAAGCTCATTAACAGACTCTCTGGTAGCTAATTAATTAATTGAGCAATGTTTCCAGTATCTCCAGGAAAGCAGTTTTCGGAGATTGTTTATCGACAGAAAGTGTTTCTGCACTTCTAGGTGAATGCTAGAATACCGTGGGGAACAGAAGCTGCAACCTGCAGCCTGCTGACTTTCTAATAAGTGCCACTGAACTCAGGACTTCCTCCTTAGTAAACAGATTTGATTTCTTCATTGGCCTTATCACTAGCCTGAGCAAAGTTGTGCTAATCTAGACACTCTCTTCTCTATTTCGAAGCTGTTGCACAGTTGATGCAACACAGTGAGATGGTACTAGAGAATAGAAGCCCTGAAACAACTTCTCTGAAATTAGAACTCTAAGAGTGCGTAACCTAGAAACAAGCTACTCATTTCTGGCACTGATGAGTACCTGCTCTTGGGGAAGAGAGACAAGAAGTGGGCAGATGACACAGGCCTGAGAACTAGCAGCTGCCTAGCTCTACCACGGCATCAGTAGTCTTTCCAAAATCTCGGCACCATTCCAGGCAGAGAGCAATAACACAAGGATAGCCAGTGAGGCATCAGGACAATGTTCTGTGCCTCTTCAGTATGGAATGGGACAGCTCACTGCAGCCAATTCATTGTGGCCAACTCACCACGGTCAGCTCGCTGCAGAACTCACTACGGCCAAGTTGCCACGGGACAACTTCACTGCGGGACATTTTAACCATTTCTTTAATGATTCTATTCCACCGTTTCTTTGATATTAGTGTCTCTTGTCCTGCAGCGAATTCTCTCAGAGGGAGTTGGGTGTGGTGATTTGGCCATGGTGAGTTGATTTCGGTGAGTTGGGTGTGGTGATTTGGCCATGGTGAGTTGATTTTAGTGAGTTGGGTGTGGTGATTTGGCCGTGGTGAGTTGATTTTGGTGAGTTGGGTGTGGTGATTTGGCCGTGGTGAGTTAATTTTGGTGAGTTGGGTGTGGTGATTTGGCCGTGGTGAGGTGATTTTGGTAAGTTGGGTGTGGTGATTTGGCCGTGGTGAGGTGATTTTGGTGAGTTGGGTGTGGTGATCTGGCCATGGTGAGTTGATTTTGGTGAGTTGGGTGTGGTGATTTGGCCATGGCAAATCGTTGTAGACCCTTTTCAGACATTCCTTTGGCTAAAATGGGGAAAAAGGAATATAAAGAGTATTTAAGGGACCTGAGATTTCAAAGATAACCCCACCTCTTTTCTAGCTAAATAACAGGTTTAACCAGCATCTATTTCATGGCAGGAAAATTGACCAAATTGTTGTGAATAATTCACGCTATTCAACCTATTAAAACCAGTATATACCCCCCATCATCATAGATGCACATACACTGCCACAAGGAGTGTGCAGTGTACAAACAGGATGAATGAAATAAATAGAAAACAACATTTCACAATCATTAAAAACAAAATACCATACGATAGTCAGCGTTCAGGGTCTTCTGTCAAAATGTAATGCAGTGTTAGGAGATGTATTTTTTGCTTACAGGGATCAGTCCGAGCCTATGACCATTAAACTGGTACATAATGACTTATTTCCTTCCAGATATGTTGGCCCTCAACCACCAGAATTCCCAGGCAGCACATCTGGAAAGGACCAAAACTGGGGAAGCTATCCTAAGTTTCAGGATTTTCAGTGTACTAAAAGGAGATTTCAGGATAAAGAATGGAGCGATGGCAGAAAAAAGAAATCCTCCCTGAGGAATTAGCCCAAGGTTCTCTGCACTGCAGGAAAGTAAATCTGTCGGCTATACAGCGCAACCTGCCCACCACCATCATTGCCTTAGATTACTACTTATCCGGGTCATTTTGTTTGCCTTTTGTGTTCACTTAAAGCCCAGGCCCACTCTGTTAAGACGGTGTTTCTTGCTCCAAAACGCAGCTGGCAAATCCCTGAATGAAAGTACTCTTGAAAGAGCTGCCTTTGTTGTCTTTGACCTCTGGGCAGTGCTTTGTTGAACAGGATATATTCTCGTCCCCAGGATGATAGCCTTAGAGATAAAAGCTCATCTTTGTGATTAGCTCTAGGAAAGAAGGGTACAAAACAGGACAGGGTCAAACTAAGATGAAAAAAAAAATGAATCTGAAAGAGTATAAGGTTTGGAGTGAGAAATTGTACCAACTTAAGCACCCGCCTTGGAACAGTCATACCTTAGTGCTTTCCTTCATCTTTGTGAGCTTCTCCCATTCTGACACTTTCCAGATCTTGGCCTCTAAAGAAGGAAGCAAGTGATCAAACATGGGTCATGACAAAAATCTATGTACTTGCATTAGATGTTGGGATGCAATTATGTAAAGACGGAGTATGTTATCCCAATCCATCTGTAGAGGCTGGATCTTAAATTCCACTTCTTTTTTCCTTCATAGAAAGTTTACTCATACTAGTGCTACTCACTGGAAGATGGATTTCTAAGAATAAAATGTCATTGTCCTAGAACGACTCTGGATGCATCACAGCAAAGGTGACGTGCAACTCTTTCAGAACATACTTATTTCCTAGATACCTCTGCTGCCAAAATAGCACTTTTGCTCCAAGATATGAACATGTTTTATGATCATCTCAAGGTGGTAGCAAGCCTGATTCAAACATGTTGGGAAACCATGTAATTTGCAGAGGCGTCTGAGGCTTTGCCAGAAATAGCTGGTCCTGAGGAACAGGACGGACCCTGGATGCTACTTTAATGCCTTTCCCAAAGAGCATTAAAAAAGCAGATAGACTGGCGTGTGTGTGGCACATACAGCTTTCCAGCTGCATAAACGCCTACCTCTCTGGCTGAGGAGGGGACACAGCAATGTTGACCTCCATATGTTTCCGGACATATTCTCTGGATCTTATATCTGCCTATAATCAGGGCCAAGAGGAAAATAAGAACAAAAGACTAATTAGGATGACTGGTGCAAGTGACAATTTCTAGGATTCTAGGAGAATGGGAGGAGGCAGAAAGGATAGGGCGGCTGGGCTCTGACATTACTGTACCTAGAGGGGAAAAAAAATCATCTCACAAATATCAGTCCTAGTCAGATTTAGGCCAATCACAAAGCAGCTTCTGTCCCAAAGAGAACTGAGGGTTACATCTCATAATATACCATATTTTTCCGTGTATAAGACGCTATTTTTTCCTGCAAACACCCTGTTCAAAAATCAGGTGTGTCTTATACAAGTGCAGCGTCTTATACATGAAAAAATAATGGTAACCTCCGCAGCCCAGGGCATGCCTGTGGGTTCTTTACATGCCGCTGCCATGCTGCCTGGTGCAGGTGTCAAGCCCATGGGCTTGCCACTAACGGGAGGGGGGAGGGGGCAAGATCAGATGGCGGTGACCGAAGGCAGCGGATGGGACCAGCAGCATGGACGGCAGCGACAGCACTTTCCCTCGCTCGTACCTGTATGCTGGCCGGGGACCCTGTGGAACGCAGCTGCGAGGCCGTCCTGCTTGATAACAGTGGCCGGCTGAACTTTCAGATTTGCCGGCTCAGCTGTTCGGCACTCCACCAAACAGCTTATTGGCGTGGAAAAACAGCGGGGAGTTTAAAACCTACGTTTGCTTCCCTTGCCTTGCTGTCATGCCGGTGCTCATGCTGGTTTGTTTACCGGGGCCGGAAGGCTGCTCCTGTGAACTGACTATGCATGCTCATTGTGCCAGATGCTGGTTAGGTGGGTGGGGGGTGGGTCCGGACGGGAAGCATCTGTTTAGAGCGCTGGGAGGCGGTTGCTCCCAGCGCTTTGTTTGCTGTAAGCTTGGTACTCACATGCCAGAGCGTCTTATACAAGAGTGCATCTTATACACAGAAAAATACTGTATTTTTGGACTGGGAAGAAAATGAGTCTCTTCTGCTCACCACAGGAAATAATTTATACAAAATAATAAATAATTTATACAAATAATTTATACAAAAATCCATGTTGAATGAGACCATTGGCTCCCCTAGCTAATATTATTTTTCAGTTGTGCTCATGGAAATGTAAGAAGCGTATTCTGAGTCAGACTATGAGTCGAACCTCTATATATAATCTTTAAAAATGTGGATAGCAACTGTACACTTCTTTCCCTTACCTGAAAGTAAGGACATCTGACTGGAATAAAACTACCACATCAAGATAAGGGTAGTTTTCATTTTTTTTTACTTTACTGTCTCCAATTTACATTGTTAAAAAGATCCACTAAATAGCAGGTTTTCATTAAAGAGGTTGGGAACCAGGCTGGGACTGCACCAAGAGGAGAAAGGCTTATAACCGATAGCTTCTTATACATGCCACATTACATTCTCTATCTGAACCAGTTCCGCTGTGCTTCTTTCTGAGAAAGAAGCAAGAGAATGCCAAGCTGCCTCTTTCAAACAATGTGTATTTTATTCCACTCAAAGCAAAATGAGCAGTTTGATGTGGGCTGCCAAATGCTACCTAAAGGAAATAAATGTGTTAATGGACACCATGCTTGCTTTTCTAGGATTGGGTCTTTCAATACATATAGAACTGCTGCCAAATTCTGGAGCAAAGCCAAATTGGGTGACAGCTTTGGCATCTGGTACAATTAATCTTGCAGTGGAACTGGGTAAGGGATGAGAAGGTTGAAGAAATTCGATGGCCGTTTGAATTTGGAACGATTCATCTCAATGGGCCATAAGCAGGTCTGCACAGAACATATTTTAAAGATGAACGAGAGACTTCCCAGACTCGTCAATCTGCTAGCAACAGGAATTGAAGCACAATGCATCCGACAAATGGCAGGATGGGAAAGACAAAAAAAATCAAGAGGTCTGGTAGTACCTTTTCAGATTAACAAATTTTATTAAAAGGCATCAACTTTTGTGAGTTGCACTCGCGTCATCACTTCACTGTCACCAAAGCCTTTTAATAAAAGGTGTGAGTCCTTCTGATTTTTGCCATCATAGACTGACATGCCTTAGAAGAGGGAGGGTGATCCAGAAACACCGAACTGCTCTGGCAAAGGACTACAGCAAAACAGAGGGAAAAGACAAAATGTCCCCATGCGTGCATAGAGGCAGTCAGGTTTCTCAAGCCTGTCATAGCCTCAGAGCAGGATCTAATTGAGAATCTTCTTCCTCAGGTTGATTTCATTGGAGTAGCAGCAAGGAATACATAGGTATGAAATTAACCTGATGTACAAAATCATGGAGGCCCAGATGTGTTGAGAGTCACTTTTGGTCAATCCTGTTCTATCTCATTGACTTAACTCCTTATGTGAGCAGTTCCTTTGCAGACACCCTATCCTTTGGCTGCTTTCTTCAATTCCGCTATACATTCTACCTTCGGCTACTCTTAACTACCGTTTTCACATTCTTCATTTTGTTTTTGTTTTTTTTTGAAAAAAAATTTTATTTTTCATTTTTCAATACATTTAATACATTCAATACATTATAAAAAAATACCTTTGAAATAAATTCATACATAAAACCTTAGGTGTCGCTCGTCCATCTCCCCCCCCCCGACTGTATCCGCCCTCTCTACCTTCCTTCCTTACTTCCCTCCTCCCTCTCTCCTCTCTTCACCTCTCTCCCCTCATCCTTTCCTCCCAACCGACTTCATTTTGTTATTCTTGATTTATCCTTTCTCTACAATCATTACAAGAAGTATATAAGAGTGATCAGGCTGAAGAAAGTAACTACCCTAGGACTACCAAATCTGGGCTGCAGAAATCTGGACAACCACTAGACTGCAGCAAAGGTGATCCCTTAAGTAGTATGCAGAGGCTGTTTTTTTATTTTTTAGCCCAGATTTGATATCTCTAGACTAGCTCCAAATGACCTAGTGAACTTTCTGGGTGAAGTGAATCCAATCCCCCCCCCTTTTACAGGTATACTGCGTTTTACTTGTTGAACAATGCTCCTTGTGTCCATTTAACATAGGTCTTCTCAGCCAAAATTTTATTTCACTTTCCTAGGAAACAGGACAGTTTACAAGTACTCGGCAGAGATTATGAATTTCAGGCTATATCACAAAATAGGGAACAATGGAGGGAATGGGAGGGATGCAGGCTGGTATCAAACATTAAATCCTTTGGTTTAGGGACACTGAATCAATGAACCCTGTAGACCAGGGGTGTCAAATTCAATTTCACTGAGGGCCACATCAGCATTGCGGTTGCCCTCGGGGGGGGGGCAGAGGTGTGTGGCCTGGGTGGGTGTGACCTACTGGGTGGGTGTGGATGGAGTGGGTGTGGCCTATTGGGTGGGCATGGCCAGCTCTACATCGTTCGCGTAAAGGGTGCCTGTGGGGGCCTGGGCAGGAGTGGGACAGATCTGAGGGTCTCTGGCAGAAGGGTGTGGGACCGGGGCAAGTGCCAAGGCATGGTCCACTGGAGGAGCCTCACTGCCTGCTAAACCCCCTCCCCCAGAGCCCATCAAGCTGGATAGGTGAAGTAGGCGAGGGCCATTTGCTGACTACTTCCAGGCGATGGTGCATTTCTTCATTCCTCACAAAGGGTGACAACTCCCTAGCATGCACCAGGGGGCAGGGCCGACACGGCAGGGGCTGGTTCCTCACTGTTTCCAGACAGCCTTGTGGAGCTAAGGCTGAATGCATTTCAGCACAGATGGCCACCACAAAATTGTACATTGGCTCCCTCCTGGCCAGCCTGGGCCAAGGCAGCGGAGGCCGTTCCCTCACTGTTTCCAGGGTGTCTTCACGGTCCGCATCTGGCCCCCAGGCCTTGTGTTTGACATGTCTGCTCTAGAATGCCAATGATGATAGGAACTGCAATCTTATAGGATCTAGAATGGCATTACTGTTTTAACCTATTATGTTAACTATGCTATATGAAAGAACAGATAGAATCATTCACTATTGGTACGTAATGATTTAAGCTTCCAGGTTAGGGAGCAGATAAATAACTTTCTGTAACACAAAAGCTTGCATCCCTCATGAACGGGGCCAGGGACAAAAAGATCACCTTGGCTATTTTGCATGTCCACCTTTTATGAAAAGAATTGGGGCTTGAACATTTAGATACATTTGTTATGACAAATTAATTTGTTTTAGATCTGCCTAACAAAATTAATTTACATCATTTGGCTCCATACCAACCAATTCTACAAGGCAAAAACTGTTGAACACAAATGGCTCAAGCCAATAATTACTGGCAATAACCGAAGCTAAAAGCCGGTCATCTCCAACATAATTAAATGCCATTTAGCCATTTTGTTTGTTTTGTACATATTTTAGCCAACTTTTCTACTTTAAAAGCACCTGCAAAACATTTTAATAACCAGAAAGTTGGAAACAGAATTTTAGATATTTAAAAACTAAAGATGGCTTTGCAAAAGCAGAGATGGCATCTGCAGCAAAGACCATGGCTGGTGAGCATACCAGTTCCTTGGAACCTCTAGATCAGTGTTTCTCAACCTTGACAATTTTAAGGCATGTGGACTTCAACTCCCAGCAATTCCACATGCCTTAAAATTGTCAAGGTTGAGAAACACTGCTCTAGATATAAGCAGACTGCCCATATTGGCTCCGGATGGCTGCTGCTCCTGGCTAGGAGACCACAGGAAAGCCGTTTTTCACGGGTTTGAGCACAGGTGACAATCGGATTTGCCCTCTTGCTCCCAACCAAGGTGAAGACTTTTAAAGAATGCTAAGTTTGCAAACCTCACTTTCTATTTGCTTTCAGAAATTGCTTATTAACTACTCTATAACTAGATCTAGATCTACTCTATAACTAGAACTAGATCTAGGTTTGAAAAAACCTCTTCGGGTGAGTTTATCTCCAACTCTGAACCAAATATATTTAAAAGCTTAAGAACTTAAAGAATTTGAAATAAACAGTGAAAAGCTAAATAAGATTTTGATCTAAGGTAGTTAAAAATTGATTAAGGGTCCGG